AGTGGGTGCTCCATCATCGGAAGTCACTAAGCAGTCGATGGGTGCTCCATTACTTGAAGTCACTAAGCAGTTGATGGGTGATCCATTACCTGAAGTCACTAAGCAGTCGGTGGGTACTCCATCACCTGAAGTCACTAAGCAGTCAGATCTGAGCCTTGTGATATTGTGTCCAATAGTTCAATGTTGCTGCCAGATATATCAGATGTAGGTATGTCTGAAATGGATGAAGTTAACAGCGATGTTAATCCAGATTTTTACAAGGCACAGTGAAAGATTTCAGTGACGCAGTAGGTCAACTAAATGATGCTGTGCAAAATTGCAACTCTACTACAGAAGATGTCATGTCTGCAGTGGAAAACGTTAACACTGTATTTGACCAAGCCATCGCAACTGTCAAAGGGGTTAACCCTGCTATAGAAAATAGCAGTGATGCTATAACCTTGCATAGTGAGGTGACAGTGGGAGATGCCAGCAGTGTTACTACTCCTCCATTGAAATATTACGCAATCAATCTTGAGAATGCTGCTCATAGCATGACTGGTGATGTCACATCCACAAGTGGTGATGTCACATCCACAAGTGGTGATGTCACATCCACAAGTGGTGATGTCACATCCACAAGTGGTGATGTCACATCCACAAGTGGTGATGTCACATCCACAACCATTGATGTCACATCCACAACTGGTGATGTTACCACTGCAACCAAAGATATCACTAATATAGCGTATAATACACTTAAAGATGATGTCATAACTACTAAGTATGATGTAATAGACAATGATATCACCAATACAGTTACAGATAGAGTGATGAAAGATTGTGTCACCTCTTCAGTGGATGAATTGACAAAAAATGGTGATGTCACCACAACAGTGGGTAAAGTAATAAAAAGTGATGATGTCATTACTAGAGTAGATGAATTGACAAAAGATGATGATGTCACTACATCAGTGGATGAAGTCAAACAAGACGATGATGTCTCAGCTAAAGTGGATGAAGTAATCAAAGGTGACATGACCAACAATGATGGCATTATGATCACTACTACAGTTAATGAAGAGATGAAAGATGTAACTGGAAATGATATCACTACTACAGTGAAGGAAGGAATTAAAGATGATGTCACAACATCAGTTGATGAAGTAATGAGTGATTATGATGTCATCACTATTGTGGATAAATTAATAACAGATTATGATGTTACCACCACAGTTGATGTCAACACCACAGAAAATAATGCCCCTAGTAACGAAGCAACTGATTCCAGTATTTCAGTTGAACATGATGAATGTGCAAATGGATGGCCTAAGGCTGATGAGCTAGTACAAACTGTCTATGATGAATCAGCTATGAATCAGCAACCTGTCGGATGCTGGACAAATGATTTTGTGGCCATGTCTGCCGAGAGTGATGGTGCCCCTATTCCCAATGTTGGAAATACTGACACACTGACAGCCCAAGCAAGAGCATTCACACCAAGAATGCAGCATGGGGAAGCTCCTTTTTTACAGAACCATCCTCATGGTCCACTACCATTAGGTTTGTATACATTTGTGGATAGTTTACATACCATATTTTATGTATTGTTTTGTGTCTACTATCTGGCATTCATATGAATGTATTGTTTTGTGTCTACAGTATGGCATTTATATGAATGTATGTTTTGTGTCCACAGTATGGCATTCATATGAATGTATTGTTTTGTGTCTACAGTATGGCATTTATATGAATGTATTGTTTTGTGTCTACAGTATGGCATTTATATGAATATATTGTTTTGTGTCTACCATATGGCATTCATATGAATGTATTGTTTAGCCTACTATATGGCATTCATATGAATG